TTACTCCTGCATGATATGCTTCCAGAGAGACTTTGGTGGTTGTACTCGTTTCAATCTCAGGTCTTGGCGCTTCATGAATCTCCTACAAGATGTAAAATATGGTATGAAGAGTTTTCAAGAACCGCAAATTTTTGAGAAAAGCCCATTTTTTCGAAGGATCTTTTACAGATAAAGCTGCTTTCACAAAAACTAAAGAAGTGATAACCTGCGCATATTCCTTTGTCAGAGTGCGAGTAGACTCGCTCTCTGATCGCGGTAGAGCATCTCGCATCAGTTCGTCTACCATCTAATCTTCCATCATTAGCGTATTAGTAAAACGTAAAAGAAGCAAATTTATTACTTTTACGTAAGTTTCGGCTGTTTGCACTTCGCGTCGTGTCGCCTGCTCAAGAATATCGTCTATTTGCTGGAAATAACTATATTAGTCTAGCGAATATGCTAAAAGGTGAGAAGTGTCAAATTAATCGTAAGCTAAAAAGCAGCTTCAGGTTCAAGAAAAGTAGGAATAACAGTCGCAAAATATAGGAGATACGTTCACTAACATCTACCCAGCGCCGTTCTGACACTCTCCTCTTCTCGCTTGTAACAGAAATCGGCTCAGAAATCGGTGACGGCTGGGACATCTGCTCCTCGATCAACTTAAATTTATGCCACTCTTGTAGTGTTAATCGGAAGGAAGTCCAAGATGGAAAACTAAAGGAAAGAAACACTAGAAAACTCAGAAAACAGAACCTCAACCCATCGTTTTTCAGAAGTCTTCCTTTCTTCATGCCGTCGAGCAGCTTTTGCAGCTTCCTCGCGCTAAAGTTGTATTTTTGGGTTAGAGTAATTCAATTTGTTAATCCACACAGGAGGAAAACCAAAAAAGGGGTCATAGAGATGCAATTTCTCGATTGAAACAGAATTTCGCCTTTTTCGTGAATGATAATCAAATCATACTCTACCTGTTTTTCAGATTGAAGCTTCTCGTAAGTGTCCTGGAAAGAATACAGATAGCATTTAAAAAATCAAGTGTGTTGAAATAATCATACCTCTTGAAGCATATCCTCGACGATAGTTTTGGTAGTGGTTGATGGCTGGACAGTCAACGTGGCCGAGGTGTAAGATTCGCCATATTCGTTGGTAGCCACAGCCGTATAGGTGCCGGCATGAGCAGGGGTAATTGGTGAGATGATGAGACGATGCCAGCCTTCTACCTAAATAAAAGTCTTCATATATTTTCAAAACAGTTCCCACTACTACTGGAAAAATTCGTCTTGTTGTTTTGTTCTTCAACTTCACCGCCCATGACATCCAAATTATTTCTTTGGGGCTTACCGTTTCCTCGATTTTCGTGGTTGTTGTCGTGTAAATGGGCTGCTCTTCAAATCGCCATTCCACGCGAGGGCGCGGCTCTCCTTGCACGTTTATCTAGAAAATTATACATCTACAATTTTAGAAGCAGATAATCAATAATATCTAAACGAAAAAGTGAAGGACTCGATTTCTAAGAAATGAGACAAATGCTTG